AAATTCTTGATTAGATTATTTTCTGCAAACAAGCACAATCCTTTTTCACCATCAGGACCAGTATATTATATTTGTATTTTGTTTATATTATTAAAATTCATTTAATAATTAATATCATGTGCCATCCAAATGGTAATTTTGAATATGAAATTAGTGATATTTCACCCCAAGTGGGATTTACGACCCGGCCTATGCATCTTTAATCCCTATCATATCTTTTTCTAACATTAAAATCTCTGACTGTGTTCAAATTTGTTAAACCTTAAGTGACCTGTAATCAATATCTTTTGTTTGGAGATCTGATAACGTGTCCTCATGACTGACCTAATGACCGGGAATATTATATAAGGCTTTAAAGGACTTATAGGGTGCTGACTGCGTTGGACTTATCTGCTCCTCATCGCGCTTGCTCAAGGACCAGCCTCTTGCACTGAAATCCATTTAATTGTTTGGATAATGATAGTGGTAGAAAATTATTTTTAAAAAATGTATCAGACCCGACCTGATGAAGTTAGAAAAAGTCGAGCCTAGGAGGTGCACACCTAACGTAACGTGGTAATTCAAATCAAGAATAAGGACAGTACTGAAAGAAAAAAAAAAACGGGAGGTCTGGGATTAGGTTTTGAAGTTTATTTTATCATCTTTTTCAGTATGGTATTTGGATTGTAAATTTTTTTTTTTTATGTATAGCATAATTGAAAACTGAAATAAGACCCGGGAAGCTGCTGCTTACACAGTGAACAAGCAAGATGAAAATGGCTTTATGGTTGTGATTCGTGCGCACTGTTACAAAAAAGTTTTTCTATTATCCTAATTCACGTCTCATTTTAAAAATGGAATTTAAAAAAAATAAATCAACGTCACACAGATAAGAAAAGGAAGTAAATTTAAAAATTCACGTCCTCCATAAGCTAGGTGAAGTAAATTTTTTAAAATCCACATCCCCCACCCCCCGGAGATGTGGATTCTAAAGAATCCATGTTCCCCAACTGAGAGGGGGACGTGGATTCTTAAATTCACTTCCCCCTCCCCTTTGGGAGACGTGGATTCTCAAATTCACATCCCCTTTTTAGGAGGGAGACGTATAATATGTTAAAATTTTGGACTCCGTGCATACTTACTTTTTTATTTTTTAAAACTAGTGTGTCAGCTCTTTGTGCTCTATCTCTATCTCCCTCGTAGCTCCCTCATCTCTTTTCTCTGTCTTCGTCTCAACTCCCTCCCTCGTAGTCCCCTCTCTCATCTCAGCTTCCTCATTTCTTTTCTCTATCTCTCTTTTCTTCACTCACTCTCTCTCTCTCAACTCTCCCTATCTCTGTCTCTCATCTCTCAACTCTGTCACTTGCTCTCTATCTCTTATCTCCCAGCTTCTTCATTGCTTTTGTTTCTCTCGGCAGCTTTGTGGACAAAGAAGCCTAGCCACTCATGACTAAGGACCTCTTCTCTTCTCTTTAGGTATTTTTTTCCTTGTTTTTATTTTCTCGAACAGGTCTTCATGCAAGAATGTGATTTTTGTTTTGACCTAAGAATGTGATCAATTAATTTTAGTTTTACATAATGCATATGATATTATGATGCTTAAATTTTATTTGAGCCCATGAAAGTATATACTTATTATTTTAGATAATTTTATAATTATATAATTATAAGTGCAATCGTTTTGTTTTTTCATTGCATTTGGTGTATTTTGTTGTGATAGTGTATAAATGGTTGTAAATAAATTACTATTTATTAGACTTTCGCTGTATGAATTGGCTATTTCTATGATATATTTTGACAAATTCTATTTTAGTTATAAAATAAATGTAAATTATATATAAAAAAGATTTTAAAAACCACATTCCCCTAAAGGTAGAAAAGGACGTGGTTTGTAAATCAAGATGAGAAACCATGTCCCCTTATACTATAGGAGACATGGATTCTTAAGAAACCACGTCCCCCTATATTAAGAGGGATGTAGTTTTTCAATCTATAAACTAGGTGATGAGAAACCACGTCTCTCTTACTAGAGGGGGATGTGGTTTCTTTATAAACCACGTCCACCACCTATAAGGAGAGATGTGAATTTTGTAAAAATCACCTCACCTATTATTAAAGGAGACGTGGTTTATGATATTTCATGTTATAGACATTTGCGACGTGGATAAACTATTATCTTAAATTGTTCAGTGTGATGTCCCTTTCAATTATGATATGAAAATGTCTAAAAATATAACGTGAAAAGTTTATTTTATAATAGTGGTGGTTAATTAGAAGAGTACTATCAAATCAATTATTCTGTAAGGAACGGAACAGTAATATCCACCTCCTTTCGGAAGAAATGAAGCATTTGACCTCTGGGTTTGCATTACTTGAAGCTGTGCGCAGTCATTAATTGCACAAATTATTTTAGTTGAGCACTTATATCTCTTAATTCATACAAGTAAATTTGACTGACCATTGATATTATTGTCCTTGTACTACCTTCATTTTATTTTTATTTTAAATTATAAGATATTTTTAGATAAAATCTCACATACCAATAAATCTTATTAAATACACTTAATAACCTTATCTTTCCAAAATAAAAATACAAACTTTCAAAGATACTCATCATTTAATATATTAAAAAGAGAAGGGATATAAATTAATTAAAAAAAATAAAATTAAAATAAATATATTTATTAAAACTTTAATCTATTTAAAATATTTTATAGTTTAAGATAAAAAAACTCCCTGAAAGGGTGGTAACTATCTTCTATTTCATTTAGGAGCATTTGAGGAATGTATTAATTAATATGTTGACGTATGTTACACTGCTCGCCGCGGGCTGCGGATGATAACTTTTCAAGTTTTCGGACAAATGGTATTAAAAAAAAGCATGCACTTCTCTCGGTCTCCTCCCTCAGCTAAATTAAACACCAGTGATTCGAAGAACTGCATCCAAAAATTTTCAAAGATAATTATTTATAAATAAAGACTAACAAGAAGTTACTGTAAGAAAAAAGAAATTCTGTTAGTCATTATTTACGAATAATTCTCCTGGAAAAGCTCTTAGAAATCTTCCTTTTAAAATTAATATCTTGTAAAGGAATATTAAAATTTAGAAACATATAAATTTATACATTTAAAATTTGATCTGAATGATCAATTAAAAAAAAAAAAGACGAGGAGAGATGCCGATTATGTCCAGCTTTCAAAAATGTGACGCACACAATGGGATTCAATCTATTTCGGATCAAATATTGTAAACGGTCAAAAAAAAAAAAAACCTCTATTGCTTGGTGCACGTTTATACTCTGATGAGAACAATCAAGTTTTCGACCATTATTTACCAAAAAAAAAAAGGGGTTTTCGGCCATTATACTTGACGCCGAATGATCTTGCCGCCTTGAATAATGGCTGTTTGAGTTTATCTCAAAAGTCCGTTCAAAATGCATTTGGAATATCAATATATTTTTTCCAAATTTAACAAATGGTTACTTCTTATAAATGGATTTTTAAAAATATAAACCAAAAACCAAGCATATACTAAGTATTTCTCTAATAAACATAATCACGTCCGGAAGTTCTGATTGGTTTTAATGAGATAAATCCACATGCATGTATTATAATTTATATCAATCATGCAGTTATTACTGATGATCATGTATATATCCCAAAAATCCAAAAAATTCATGAAGTAATTGTTTTAATTTGACATCTACTCCTGAGTATATTGTTTAGTAAAAGAAAATTTGTCCAAGAAAATACTCTATAGTGTATCACGGTCCCATAACTCGGGTTTCGATGATATCCATGAAGCTTTAAATATTTAAAATTAAAAAACGTCTTCATAGCACAAGACACATGCAGCTTTAGATTGTAACAAGATCGATTTAAGATTTGAATTTCATTAAAAATGATGTGATGACATTCTTAAATATTAGCCACATGAAAATTCCGAGCACATTGTCTTGAAGTGTTCCTAGACACAAGGGCCCAGCTTCCTCATCATTGAGAATCCCTTTGCGTCACTCTATTGACATTCATACTTGGTCCGCTTTCTCCTTGTGGCTCATCTGGACCGTAAAATTTTATATTTATATTTTATATTTATTATAAAAATTATAAAATTTTAACAAATTTATCTTAAATCAATATGGACAATACATGTTTCTAATTTAATATTAATTTTTTTTTATAATTTTTATAAATTGAATATCTACATTCATCAGGATTTAATAATATTTTTTTAAAATTTTTATACATTTTTATTTTAGTAAATGTAATATTAAAAAATAAAGATAAAAATAATCTTCAAACTAGCACTATAAACAAATTAAGAAAAAAATTGCCACTTTAAAATTTTAAATTCAAACTGTCTAAAATATATTTAAATAGTTAATTTATAAAAATTATAAAAAAATTAATATTAAATTCGATTATTTAGATTAAACCTGCATTGTACATATTGATGATAAGATAAATTTATTAACCAAATGTTTTTATAATTTTTATAATAAATATAAAAATAAAATTATAAAATCTGAACTATCTAGACTAAAAATCTGACGATCCAGTGATGAGTACCAAAACGGCAAAACTGGACTCGTGGGAGTGCAGACCGCAGCAGCCCAGTTTGCTAGGGCTATCGGCCCTTGTAACTTACTTGCTTCAACGCCGATCCATCTTTAATTTCCAGAGTCGTTGGGGTACTCGCTGTTGCAGGTTGAAATGTTTCACTTTCTAGTAATATATAGCTATCATGAACCACCAACTATCAAAGCTGGGCAGATAAAAAGCTGAAATTTTGACGTTGAATGCTTTACCCATCGGACGCGGTATGTGTATAATTGAATTATATTATTTCCTAGCGCGTATTTAATTAAAAAAAGCGCGCGGGCGCTCGCGTTTTGCACTGATCCATTACTGAACTTAGGTTTCGCAGTGTGCATGAAATTGAGCATCCCTGACCGTCGTTATGCTTTGGAAAACTAGAAGAAAATAATGTGCGAATTTTGAAAAAAATGACATGGAGATTTATAAGCGTTGTACTCATTGAAAACTGATGGCCGCTAGACAACTTTTTTGCTAATTATTTTGAAGAGGGCTTTGGTGGTAGCACAGTTTACATTTTACACCTTCAAGCGACAAAGCAAGCACATTCATATACGACAAACACTGTTTATATCCGCAAGATCTCCACAGGAATAACCGGTAATAATTAAATGTTATGGAACAAGGACTAGATTGTAGCTAAATATACGTACTATTCATTTTACACTAATGCGATACTAGGCACTAGGAAATCTCATGGAACAAAGGGTCCTCCAGCAGGAGGTCGGGCCACATGGAAGGACCAATCTCTCCATAAATAACAGTATTTGTCATTGAAATTTCTGGCGCAGTGGAAGGAGATGGAATACTGCTTGAGCATGAAAGAAGCCACGCTGAATCGGGAGAACTTGCTCCCTGACTTAACGACGGTGGTTGGCGATGGCAACGAGGCGATTTCAACTCTGGTATGTTAGAGAACGAGTCATAGCCGAATTGGAGATTACTGACCCCGACTGGAGATGGATTGTTTACATTATTGTCTTCCAAGTGGGTTGAACTTAAAACAGTGTTGTTGTTATTCGTCAGATCCAGGGACTTCAGAAGACTAATATTGATGGAATCCGAGTTCGTGGAGTCACGGTTTAAGTTGCCTTCAGTTGCAGAAGGTCGAGGCCGCTTAGGCTTCAAGATATGTTGTAAGCCTTGATGTCTGATCAATTGAACAGCCTCTTCTTGCAGTTTCAAAGCAGCACTCTGTTTCCATGGTTGATGGTCCAGAAGTCCTTTGAGATTAGCCCATGCTACGAGACGAGGCAAACTTGAGAAAAGATCGGTTCGAGGTTGGTGTGTCATCGGATCATAACCCATTTGTATCGGCTTCTTCTTTAGATGGGTGTTCCAGAAATTCTTGATCTCGTTATCTGTCCGTCCTGGTAGCTGGCTTGCAATTGCTGACCATCTTGTGAAAGTGAAGTTTCAATGTTAGTGGTTAGTCCTTCATGTCACAAATTAAGTTGCTATAAATTGCATGTGTAATTAATAAGTTTTCAAATTAATTACTTGTTTCCCAGGATAGCATGGAGATCCAGAATTGTTTGCTGTTCTTCTTCAGAAAGTTTCCCTCTCTTTATGTCAGGCCTCAAGTAATTCGTCCATCGTAGCCTGCAACTTTTCCCGCATCTGTTCGGCCCTGTAAAAGTTACAAGAAAAATTGATCACTCACGAAGTGGAGATTCTAACCCATGATGATATCAATATGAATAGCTAGCATGCTTACCTGCAAGTTTTGGAAGAGCTCTCCAGCTCCTGTGACCATGCTCTTGAATGAAGTTAACAAGCTTTTGATCTTCTTCGGGAGTCCAAGGGCCTTTCTTCAAACCAATCTCATCACAACACGGTGATCTTCCCATTTTTTTTTTTTAAACTAATACTACTCCTTTCTGCTTTTGTCCCTTTCCCTCTCTTCTTCAAACAAGAACCTGAGATGTTTGTTTAAATTAAAAAACATTCAAAAGAAAGTGAGCTGCTTGCTTCAAATCCGACCTTAATTAGGATGCAGCTTCCTGTCCTATTTATAAACCACCACTGCTTTTGTTTCCCTAGCCCCATCACGACAACTCCCAATAAAAGTAACTGATGAGAAAGAGAAATTCTTACGTGGACTAGCCCCTAGAGCAGGATTGTGGAGCAGCAGATCATAGGGCGACACTTTAGTCACGGCTGGAGATCAAGACCTAATTATTTTATCTGATTTTTCAAAAAAAAAAAAACATTTTAATCATTTTACTTTATTCATATTTTGTTATAAACTCTTACACTTTTTTTAATATTTTAATTTCTTATAATTTTATTTTTCAGTGGTATAGGTCCCTGAATAAATAAAATGAATAAAGTATAAAAACTTTAAATAAATGTAAAATACTAAAAAATAAAAATTTAAAAATTTAAAATATAAAAAATATAAAAATTTATAATAAAATATAAATAAAGTGTAAAAAAATAAAAGGCATGTTTTTTTTTTTTCATTTCAAACTATGAAAGGTTGTTCTACAATTATAGATCTGATACACATTAATACATTCCTACGAATGGCGTGTCAACTTTTCACTTTGCCATTTGAACAACCGTATATATCTCTCTCTTGCATGAAAAGACAAAGGCGCCCCTCAGTCTCCAGCTCTCTTTTCATCAATATTTTAATTTAGACTTTGCGTTTTTGGTGCACATAACGGGCTTGTGTCTGTCCTTGTTCGCTGGGCTAATTAAGTATGAAAATGACCTCTCCTTGCGTGGAGGAGGGACCAACATGCGTACCTCATTCGAGTCCTTCATTGGCCATACGAATCTATAATGATTTCTGTGAACATCATATTTTATTTTTATATTTTTTTAATTTAATAATAAATAATTAAAAAATATAAAAATAAAATTTAACTCTTTTTAGGATTATATTATATTTTTAAAAAAATTAAAAAATTTTATTTAAATCTTTTAAAATTATCTCAATCATTTAAAAATATTCGAGAATTAACTTTTGAGAGTTAATTTTTGTTATCTTTTTTTCTCTCTTTAATCTTGTTGTTTTTCAAAAAAAAGAGAGAAAAATATTATAGTTTAACTCAAAATTAATTTCTTTTTTTTTTCTCTTCTTTCTTTTCTTTCTTCTTCCTTTTAATCTAATTCTTGAAGTTAATAAACAAAAAAAAAGAGAGAGGGGAAAGCAGAACGTACATGTTGCATAGGCTGGAGAGAGGAAATGGACTGCCGTACGCACACATAGCTCTTTCGGCTTTGTAACAGAAACAGAGATGCAGAAACGCAAAAACAGCAAAGGTGAGAGACCAAACGCAGGCACAGAGACGCAGAAACAAAAACAAGCACACACTTTTGGCCATGCAGCAGGAAAAAGGAGAAAACAGCAGAACACATGAACACATGAGCCGCAGATGCTGAAAGAACCAGAGACAGCAGACACAAAACGCAGAAGAAGCAAAACAGAACAGAAAGAACAGCAAGCAATCGGAACACGTACGCATATGCTTTCAACTAGCAGGAGAAAAGAAACAGAACCAAGGACGCACACACGCATGCAAGAGACGGCATAGCAGAGAAAGAAGATGGGACGACACAGAAAAAATGAGAAAAAATAGAGACAAAAACGCAGAAAAACAGAGCAGAGACTTCAGCGCACACAGAAAACGTAGCAAAAAGGAAGAAGCGGAGCAGGAGAGCAATGATTCACCTCTTCCATCCCCTATATAAGACCGAACGTGAAACAGAGACAGGGGCAGTTTTGGCTGGAGAAAGAAAGGAGAAACATACACACAGAAGAAGTAGAAAACAGAGCATGAGAGAACTGAAGGAGAAGAGAGGTTGAGAGAGGAAGAAACAGACACCGAGAAGAGAGAGACTGAGAAGGAGAAACAGGAACGTGAGAACGGAGCAGAAATCTAGAGCACGAAAGAACCGAAGGAGAAACTGAGAGAATGCACGCAGAAGGAATGTGAAAGCTGAAAACAAAGATAGAGAGAAAGAGGAAATCGAGATCAGAAAGGGAGGAGTTTGCTGGACTGGTGAGACGGAGCTGAGACGTGCTACACACAGGTTTACTAGTCTGCTTGTTTAAAAATTTGAAATGCTCAATTTGATCTCGGTTAATTATTTCCAAACAAATTTCATGTTTAAATACCTGTCCCTCATTTTTTTTAGTTCTTAAGTGAAAATCAATGTAAATGTCTTTTTCTTAAAAAAATATAATAAAAAAAAGAGAGTGTGAAAAATAAGGATAAAGAGATTACAAACAATAATTTTGCTTGCTATCATAATTAAGCTTAATGCAATTTTAGGCATAATCTCATTTCAAATAAAGAAAGAGTTAGTGCAATTATTAGGCAGGGTCTTTAAATATGTGTTTAGCATGAAAGGGCGTATTAATATGTGTGGGCATGTTTTTCATCTCCATTAGTCCTAAGGTCCTTTAATTATCAATAATATTGTTACACTCATATTGTATGCCACTTTCTATGATGATCACATGTACGATTTCAATTATTATGACGAGCCTATTTTATAAAAGGCGGAGGAGAGAGAATTTGATTCTTAACCAATTGAAAAAACATGAAATAAATAAGAGAAAATTTGTTTCTAATCACTTACTTGTTGTGTGAGATTTTAAGAATTTTTGCAAACATTTAAAGCGATCTCATACCGTGCAAATCAATAAGATTTTGTAGATATGAGAGCAAAACTTATATGTTAAAATTAACGCTCCTTTTATAATTCTAATTAATAATTTATTTAAGTTTCATGTGAGATTTTAAGGATCTTTGTAGGGACTTAAATTAATCACATTATCGTGTGGGATAATAAGTCCTCGTAGATATAGTGATTTTCAATTATTATAGATAAGTGATTTTTATAAATAATCATATAATATACAATTTAAGAAACTTAATTAACCAAATTAATGTTGTTAAATTGTAACCATATTTACCGATTATATCTTCTAGTCATGTGAGATTTTTGAATCTCTGTAAACTTATAAGATAATCGTATTATCGTATGAGTCAATAACACTCTACAGATATAACAATTAAGTTTATTAAAATACATATAAATTACATATTAAAATAATTAAATTAAAGACGTATTTAAATTTAATTTCTTTATCATATGAGGTTTTAGAATCTCCGCAGATATTTAGGATAATCATATTATCATATAAGTCAATAAGGCCTTGCAGGTATGTTGATTAAAATTCTTCAAAACATGTATCTACATGCTAAAAATTATTATTAACACTTAAAAATATACATAAGAATATAAATAAATAAATTAAATTGCCAAACTCTTTTATCGTGTGAGATTTCAGAATCTTCACAGATATTTAGAGCAACTGTATTACCGTATGAACTAATAAGGCTCCGCAGGTATAGCAATTAAAATTCTCGATCATAAAAAAAAAATAATTTTAAACCCTTTCCTTTCTTTATTAAAAATTAAAAAATAAAAAAATAATTAAAATTAAATTACTTTTTGCAATTTAAAATACACATTTCAAAATTTTAGAAATTGTTTTATTTACAAAATGGTGAATTATTTCTAATTAATTTTCTCTTCAAAAAATATTTTTACCAACAAATTTTTAAGCTCGAACTACGTGAACTTTGATCCCCATCACAGGATACGTAAGCCTCAGAGTCAGATTCTGAGTCAAGTCCGTCCTCCCTCATAAATAAATAAACATTTCTCACATAATTCTTATCATTTTTATCAAACACATGAATACAAAAGGGATAATTAAAATAATTATAAAATCATATTAAAAGAGCACAACAAACTTCAGGTAACCGTTTTGATGAACGGGTGTTGTGGAGTGCCTAACACTTTTCTCACACTTAACCGACTCCTGAACCTATTCTCTGATTTTTGCAGATCACCCTTATACTCCATTAATCGGTTTCCCGAGATTTACCTCAAAATCTTGGTGGCGACTCTTTGTTCATGCGGTTCCAGCTGCGAAGGCCGGAACCTCCGCTCGTGCGCCATCCGCGTCGCATTTTTCTGGATGCGACAACTTCAGTTGTCCCAAAATTATTGGAAAGCCTTATGTATTCAAATGATTTATCATCTCAAAGGTTAAAAACTAAAGGCGAAATGCCGAAAGCTATTTAGTGGTTGTTCAGCCTCTTATGTTCCTAACCATTACTCTAGCTAGTCTGGTTTTCTTTAAAGAATGCATTTATATCTGGAGAAATTTAGAAAGGAAAAAAAACTATGCATGTTTATTAATTATATTTATGCATCAGTCGCAGTGTCGCACGCATTAATTTTCCATTCCATTTTATACCATATTAGAGTGACTGAGCCATTAAGAGAAGCTAGGATTAATAGTTTATTTATTCAGTAACTAAAGTAGTTGAGCTCTAACAAACTGCACGTGCTCAGTTGTGCATTCCCACCTCTGTTATGATTGTATAAACACCTTATACCTCCACTGTATCATGAAATTAAATGCAGATAATAAAATACATTTCCTCTCACTTTACTCTACTTTCCTTCCTCTCCCTCTCTGATTTCTAATATGAGCACATGTCCTTTTTACAAGTGTTCGCCTTCATAACATCGCGCTTTTTCCAACCACATCATTGTTTCGTATCAGACATGGAGGCAGAGCAGGGAGATGATAAATAATGGTGGTGAATAATCGAGTGGCTGGTACATATGAGCTACCAACCATTACGAAAATTGTAATGCTCGCTAAGCTTCATATGAGAAGCCAAAAATTCATTACAGCTGTTCGTTTTTTCAACGCGTATTAGATGTTGGCGATCAAACTCCTACAAATGCAACGAAAGCGGTCGAACTGATGACGGACAATTATATATCTTGGCTGTCTGTCGTCACAAAATT